CTGACAGCGGCAGTGGTGGCCAGGTAGGCGGATCCAGCAGAGCCGGGTCCGACGGCGGCAGCGGCAGAACCGGGTCCGACGGTGCAGCGGCGGCCAGGTAGGTGGATCCGGGAGAGCCAGGTCCGACGGCGGCAGCGGCAGAGCCGGGAGAGCCGGGTCCGACGGCGGCGGCGGCGGCGGCGGCAGTGGAGACCGGGCCGGAGGCAGTGGAGCTGCCAGAAACAGGCCCAAGGCAGGGCGACGGGGAGCAGTGGAGCCTGGGTCGGTGGACACTGCTGAGGCAAGGAGAGCTATGGAAACTGCAGCGCCCCAGCGGACCAGGGCCCGCGGACGGAGCGGTTGGACATTCTTGGGGTAAGCGGGACCCCGGGGCAGGGGTCCGCACACCAGACTGGAGGCCAGGGCGAGGGTGTAGGGGTGGAGGAGCCCTCTGGACACCCGCATCCGGAGCCAAGCCGGACAGCGATGAAGGTCTCATTACCGGACAGTACGCGCTAAACCAACTGAACAGCATATCAGATAACATCAAGTCGTGGCAGGAGAGGCAGGCGCGTACGCCCATCCAGGTGGGGTGAGTCTTCACTGTGAGTGGGGGGGGTGGCCGCGGTCCCTTCCCCAAGGACCGGGGAAGGGAGGGACACAGCCTAAGAGAACCCACTTACAGTATGAAACGGGAAATTTTCATGGGATATTGTTCCGTGGTCTGAGGAGAGAAACCAGGAAGGTAAGTATACAGAGTCAGCCAGGACAGATAGGCAAAAGATAAGGGCAGTAAGAATGGATTAAATGGATGAGGTTTCTGAGTCCAGCAGGCCGGGTACAGACATTACACTTTTACTGGTATAAGTGATCAGAAACTTGTCTATACCCATAACAGAACAGAAGTTTGGCACACGAAACCGGTCTCTACCTGTAACAGAGCAGAAGTTTGTCACAAATAGATTGGTTAAAAAATAGTGGAGCCTGGTCAAAGGTGTGCCCCCGGTCCCTCCCTGAAGGGTGAATATGTGTTCTGTTTGCTATTGATCTAAACCATGCTGCTTACAAAAAAACAAGTAACTTAGATCAATTTCACCTCAGGCTTTTTGAACGTCTGTACTTAGCCCCAGAGACCCAGTCGTCTTACTTCTAAGTTTCGTGGTCCCCTGCAGGAAGTCTGACAGCTCTTCAAACATTGGCAAACTGAGGCTCCAGGCTCAGCAGCATCTCATCAGGCAGGCTGCTAGAGATTCAGAAAGCTGACAGGAAAACAAGCCATTATTCTTCATAAGATTTAACAAAATCAGCATGGCCCAGCAAAACAGTTAGATTTCATCTAATCAGCATTCCTCAACAGAAAAATATCAGAAGGAATTGGTGAAAAAGAACAAAGTTAATTCAGCCTGATTATAAGTGACTTCCCACTGAGATCAGCCTTCAGTCTTTGGTCCTTTTGTCCAGTCCAGGCAGTATCTACCAAGAGAAATCAGTCATAAAGTACTGAAGCTACATTGTGTTGATATATGAGTGATAGCAAACAGCAAGTTCTGTTTGAAAGTATGACCTGCTTTATAAATTGACAAGGAACAGGTTAAGAAGAGAAGAAAAAAGCTGAATTCAGCCTGTTGTGGGTGAATGCAAGTGGCTTCCCCCGGGATCAATATTCAGACTTTGACTGTCCTTGTTTCTCAGTCTATAAATTACTTCACTAGAGGGACCAGCTATAAAGCACTGAAGCTAAATTTGTTGATGACACAACAGTGGGATGAGTAGTGAGCACAAAGCATACCACAAGTAAAATTTGAAAGAATTAGGACCTACTTTATAAATTGGCTGACATGTGCCAAATGAAATGTAATGTTGACAAATGTAATACTCAAAGAAAATAAACACAAGAACAAAATGAATGGAATTGAACTACCACAGAAGGACTTTGAAAAGGACCTTGAAGAGACAATGAAGTTCACTTAGAAAATATTTAGACAATAAGGGAAAGTAATTTGAAAAACCAGGTGATTCAGAATACACAAACTACAAAGTGACCTTGAATGGAGTACTTGAATTCAGCATATCTACAGCAGTTTAAAATATTGTAGGTAGACAGGGAGTAAGACTGCTTCGTATGGTAGTTAATGGTTCCTAAGCCATTGAAGATCTGGTCCCTACCCTCTCTTTCTGCAAGAAGTATTTGGGCAGGAAAAGGAACTTGCATAAATGAATTCCCCACTCTATCTCAACCTCTACTGCAGCAGCCTTACATGTTGTTCTCAGCCTCTTTCACCCTGCCATTGAGGCTGTGGAGGACACAGAAATGCTTCTGCTTTGGGACATTATCAGAATGGTTTTGAAAATATAAACTGTTGCTTGCATTGAAGATGGCAGTGAATCACAGGCTGTTTGCTAAGGTAAAAGGCAGTTTTTACTTCCAAAAGTCCTCTCCTTCAAATATTAGAAAACACATAGTGAAGGGAAAGACTGCACACATTTCACTTTGCTCATGAACATGATTTTCCACTAATTTCACAAGTGGTGAGAGTTTTCACAGTTCTCTGATGGACACTTAGCTTTAGCAAACCAGCTGGCTGACATGAATGTGTAAAGAATACAGTAGCAAGCACTTTCATGGCTTGCAAAACTGGTTTTAGGGACAATGGTGCCCTGGGTGAACTTGTATTTTGGTGCCTCCCCCACCCCCCTGGTCAGCAGCACTGCTGTAGGCAGAGGCAGGTGGGCTGGGACACAGGGTGCAGTCCAGTAAGTAGGCAGAGCTACCCATACTGCCTGGCTCAGCTCCTCTCAAGCAGTGGCTGGAGGTATGAGGGTGGGCTGGGGAGTGTGGGCAGCTGCGCCTCCCTGCCAGACTGCACCCCACATCCCTGCCCCCTTGCCTTTGCCTGCAGCAGCGCCTCTGACTTAGAGAAGCTGGGCACTGCTCTGTATGTGCGTGGTGCCCCCTGACCACAGTGCCCTCTATGGTTGCCCACGATGCCTACCCCTAAGGCCGGCTCTGCATGGAAGGGAAATATAACATGATTGGGACTTGAAAGCTTGAGTAAAAACCAAACGCAGTGCACCTGAATAGCTAGTATGTTTTCTAGCATGACGTTTAAAATTTAGAATCACAAATGTAGAGAAATGCAGTCCCCAAGGAGCTAGAGATCCTGCTTTCACTGTTAAGGACTTTTATATCTGCATAATTTAAGTGAACTAGAAGAAACTTTGTGAAGCCAAACTCCCTCCATTCTCAAACCCAGAATTTAGCATCTTCTTTTGCTGAGAAAAATACTTTTCTTACTTTATGAAGCAGATCACTTGTATTGAGACTAGCTTCTCTGGATTGAAGGAATACCAGCTTGGGTAAATATCAAAACCACCATGTTCTTCTAAGAATTCTTCATGTGTAGTCATGAGGATACAAACAGGGATTTCTCAGGGGCTCATCCAGATCCTTCCCAAATCTTGAGAGATCATTTCCTAGGGAAGATTATAAAAATTCCCAGGTGAAGGAAAACATTTGCAGCTGACTCTGAAGAATGCAGTAGTTGAATGAATATAGAAGAAAACCATTAACTGAAAGAAACATCTTTTCTCTCTAACACTTTACTACTGCTTACTTGCTTAGATAACAGTTAAGTTCCATTTTCAAAGGGTGTGTTTAGTATATGTATTAGCATGGGTTAAATTAGATCATCCTCAATGCTGCAACTGGTGGACTATTTTAAAATCATGATTTCTGACCCAATAGTAAATACAGTGGTGATTATGCTACCCTTAGCTTAAAATAACCAATGAACCAAACAAACAAAAAATGGAAAACCAAAAATTCCAAACTCCTGTAAAACACATTTGTCTCAGTTAAAATACTGGGACAGGGAAGCTGTTGTTCTAACAACTTCTGACTTAATGAGATTCCCCTAGATGCTTCTTCCTATTATTTATTGCTATTATTAAATATTATTATATTCCCTTAGCCTCTAGGTGATACAAGTAATAAAAGATCAGCTCCTCTCATATTTTTGTCCTAGTTCTGACCACTGCTAAAGGCAAATACCTAGCACATTGAAAAGATGTATTGTTTTAATTTAGAGGAAATGTTTCCATAATTTTTTCACAGAAAATTGATTAGTCCTATTTGGCACTGACTCTCCCTCTTTCTACCAGAAATGCTGCATTAAAGGAGATGAAAATATGTAAAATATAACTTCCGTGATATGATCCCATATAAACAATCCCTACACTTGCCACAGAAAAGATATATGATTCTGGAAGGGAAAGGGGGATTTCACAAGAGATTTTTTCAAACAGTGGTCCATGCTATGAAAACACTTGAGAAAAATTGGGTTGGGTGGATTTGATATGAGTGTTGCAGGGCAACATTTAGTTCAGATGCATCAGAGGGTGAAGTTTTTGTGACTCTTGTATAATAACTTATGGCATGAAAAATGGATGTTTATTTCTAGATAAAACTTATTATTTTAAAAAGTTCAGAGCCTTGCAGAATTCTTACCGTATCTCCAATCTTGCATATAAATATATACCGTATAAGTAAATGTATACAAATGATAAAGTTTGTATAGTCCAATTATAGTACCACTGGTACATCTATGTAGATTGCAGACACACAGTGAAAGCAAGTACAGGCATACCTCGTTTTATTGCGCTTCGCTTTATTGCGCTTCGCAGATATTGCGTTTTTTACAAATTGAAGGTTTGTGGCAACCCTGTGTCGAGCAAGTCTATCGGCGCCATTTTTCCATCGGCGCCATTTTGATGGTTAGCATTTTTTAGCAATAAAATATTTTTTAATTAAGGTATGTACATTTTTTTTTAGACATGATGCTATTGCACACTTAATAGACTACAGTATAGTGTAAACATAACTTTTATATGCACTGGCAAACCAAAAAATTCGTGTGACTCACTTTATTGCAATATTCGCTTTATTGCAGTGGTCTGGAACCAAACCTGCAATATCTCCGAGGTATGCCTGTACTCATATACGTTACTTGTGTAGATACTTACTTGCAGGATCCAGGCTGTAGACAGAATGTTATTAGCCATGTGTTTATAGTACTTCTCTAGCAGACTTATTTTTACCTTTTTTGTCATACATGGTGTTTTAGAGTCCGTCTCATCATTATTAGTGTTACGCAGACCTTCTATCCCTTAGTAATCTATACAAAATTAAATTACATTTCATGAATAATAGCATCAAGTTTGACAGAATATTCTAAATTCCAGGAAATTTGGAAACTATATCTGTGCATAACAATACCTCATATCTCAGCTATTTCATTCAGCAGTGTCATAATGGATGCCAGGCTCTGAACTGAAAAAAGGCAGAGCAGATATCTCCATCAGCCATCCTCAATTTTGCAAATTAAGGTTTTGGCATTCACAGCTTATTATTGAAATTAATGCTTATTGTGATCTCCCTTCTCTTGATAGAGTACAAACGTATGACTGCGGAGAGAGGATTGCAGACTGGTTCTCTGAGTTTCTTGGTCGTCAGTGTCACCTGATTAGGCAGAGTTCAGACTTCAAAGGAAATGCAACTCAGAAACATGTAAAAGGTATTTGCTCTCCCATGTTTATGAAAAATGGATCTGATATTCTGTCTCTCTAAATAGAAAATATGAGCCTGCTTGCCATGACTTATGACAGTGGTGGTCAACCTTCCAGTCCTCTGGGCCACATGAGTGGGATGAGGCCAGTCTGTGGGCCGAATTCCACATCCCGGACAGTACCAGTCTGCAGGCTGGACTCCGCATAGGGATGGAAAACAGGGTCAGTCTGCAAGTGTACTCTAACACACTGGCTCAGCTCCATGCACCAGATCCAGCTGCAATTAATGCTGCCACTGCTCTCTTATGCCGAATTTCTGGATGCATGGGGAGCCCTGCAGGCCAGATGGCATGGCCCTTTGGGCTAGATTTGGCCCATAGGTCAGAATTTGAGCACCACTACCTGATGCTGAGTAAAAATCTACTGCAATGAAGAGGAGAGATGTCCTGAACATGAAGACCAATAAGGAACTGTATATCTGTTTTGCTGATCTTCCATTTGTTCGATTTGGGGAAAAAAATCTAAGTAGTCTTTTATATCATCCCAATACCCTTTCTATCTAAAAATCTTATGGTCATAGTGAAAAATATGGAAAATTTCTGAACACAGAATTTATTCTTATGTCAAAATTTATTATCTTAAAATAGAATGAATTGAAAATGACACTAGAAATCCTAAGTTATTGCCACCTGTAAATTATTTTATGAAGTTGAGCTATATCTTATTTAATAAGTGCATTGCACTACGTAAGTTTGATTCAGGCTTCTAATTTAATAGCTTGGACTCTTTCCATTGTATTATTCCAGTGAATAATTTCTTCAATGAAAATGAATGGAAACATTATGGGGGTAGGGGTTAGACGTAAACAGCATCGTATTGATCATTTGTAATAATAATTTAATAATGTTGGATTGATTTTTAGGTCAGGCACCCTCTGCAACCCTCTCACTTTCTCTTGTGAATGAAGCACAATATCTCCTGATAAACACTGCAAGCATTTTGTATCTGAAAGAGCAAATTATTGCAAGGTGAGATCTTTGTCAGCTGAGATGGCATATTATGTAAAGCTGGTTTTCAGAATCATGTCATAAGGTAAAAGTATCAATGCATTAGTTAGAAATTGAAGTTTTTATCCTTCAGTCCCTCACAAGGATGTATTCTAAATGCTATGTTAAGATAGATCCCAGTCAATAAGATCATAGGAAAGTTGAGCTCGAAGGGACCTCACGATGTCATCTAGTCCAGCCTACCTGCTTACCTGCTGATCTCAATATTCAAGTTCAATACCTGAATTTATCATATTTGTCAATAATCTGCAGAAAATTTTAGTTTATTTTTGGCCAAAAGCTACCTGCAAAAAGCTGTTTGCTTAGAAACCAGTTTATGCCTATCTGTGTGTTCTAAGGATCAGAAATGCAAAAAGTTACTCTACTTGCTTAGGAATGAGTTATTAATTAGATATCTGCTCTAGGATCCATGATTCCATAAGACAGGGGTATCAAATTCATTAGGCCCTGGGAACTAGATGAGTGGCACATGGGGCAAGTCCAGTGCAAGGCACCACATGCAGCATGCACCTCAAACCACCCTGCACACAGCATTGCAGCATATGCCCTGGACTAGTCCATATACCACATGCCGCATGCACTCTAAACTGGCCCTGCATACCATGTGGAGCATAAGCCACAGACCAGCCTACATCCAGAGTGCACCCTGGACCCATGTGCCAGGTTTAGCATGCGTCCCAGCCGTGCATGCTGGTGTTGCATGCTCCCCAGGCCAATCTCACATGCAGATTGTGCCCTAGACCAGCCCCACATGTCATGGTCTGCATGTGCTGTGGACAGGCCTACATGCCATGTGTAGCATGTACCCCAGAACAACCCCGTGTGCCATATCCAGTTTGCAGGGCTGGGGCCTGGGCCAGTGGTCACTGTATGTAAGCCAGTCCAGGATATTCCACGTGCAGTGTGTGGCTCCAGTCCAGCACAGCAAGCTGGGTGGCAGGGCTCCACAGGCCGGATCCTGCCTGTGGGCCATATCCTTGAAATCCTTCCCTGAGTGTTTAGATCAGGGGTGGGCAAAAAGTGGCCCACAGGCCAGATGCGGCCCACCAGGCCATTCTATCCATCCCATGAGGCCCCTAAAAGTTTAGAAAATTAATATTTATCTGCCCCTGGCTGCCTGTCATGTGGCCCTCGATGGCTTGCCAAAACTCAGTAAGCAGCCCTCTGTCCGGAATAATTGCCCACCCCTGCTTTAGATAGATCACATGTTAAAATGAATACATGACCTCTTTTAATACCCTTTGAAAGTTCCTGTTTGTTGCGGAAAAGCTAAATATTTAGAGCTAAAAACCAAACCAGTGAAATATTTCAAAGAAATCTGCTTGTCAGGACATATTTATTTTGCTGTTTGTTTCCTAGTTGATTTTTGGATTATTCTTACAAAAACAGGAAATAAAGGAATCATTCAATCCACTTGGAAGTCACAGATAAGAAAACTTTTATGTCTAAATACCTAAAACCTATTAATGTAGATTTGTTATGAACACCCTACCACCTCAACCAGTTTCCCACCCTACGTGCCACATGAAATTCAGTCTCCTTCTAGTCCATGGTCTCTGAGTCTCACAACTGCTCTGTTCTCATTTCATGTTATTCCCCTGTCCCATTTCACTGCCCTATGTCCTCCTCTTATTCCTTATGCTTGGAAATCCCTCCCTCCCTCGGTTAACCAAGTGAATATTCTTTCCACACACAAATCCTTTCTCAAATGACGGTTCCACAAGGCCTTTCAGTATTAACCCAACGAACCTAAGCTACGCTCTGCAGAAAACCTGAGCAGTGTTAGGTTTTGTATCCCTTGAGAAGATGAGAATTCAGGAACTAGCCAGGGATATAATACCTACAACAAACAGCTGTGTGGGACGACTGAGGTCCTCCAGTTGTTTTCTATGGCTTTTATTTTAAAAAAATGTGACCTCTCTCTTTACCTGTGCAGAGCCATATATGAGCTCCAGCTGAGTAGAGAAATGGTGTCCTTTGAAGTAATAGCCACAGCCAGTACCTGCATGGCTCACCCTTCATTCAACAAACTGCTGCTAATTAAGCCAGTTGTGAATTGCCCAGAGATGAATGCTCCAGGTGCTGCTGTATCTGTAGTGTATATGCATTTTGATATCACTGACTATAGTTGGTTTCAAAAGAAAGTAATTCCATTTGTACTGCTTTTAAGGGCTTGCGGTGAGAAGAGTAGCGTTAAGGTGCAACCATATTTGTAAAGGAGCACCACAGGGGAAGGCCAAATAAGAGAAATACTAAATCAATCTATCTCCCACCTATTTTAGTCATACTTCCTCTGTAATGAGCCATTTCCCCTTTAGGGTGTCTTCTGGTTGGGTTTTAACTCTCTGATGGAGCAGCGGAGTTTAAAAGTCTCTCTCTTATAAGTGAACTTCTCACTCAGGACCCTAAGCTCAGATTTCCTAGCCTTCCCCATAAACTGGCAAAAGACTCCAGCTTTCTAATTTTGTATACACCAAATATAACATGAACCATTTGAAGTGATTTAGCAGCTTGCAATATTATGTGGGTGAAATCAACTTTCAGCTTTTCCAGTAGACTGCAGTTCCACTACACAGTAAGAGCATTGGCAATTTCTGAGCTTTGTTTGTCTCCCTGTGAAGGGCCCTTTGGGGTGGGTATAGTTCTGCAGTGCAAAAACCAGGCCTAGGCCTCTGGAGTAGAAATGCAAAGGAGTGGAATGGGACCAAGAGCAGCTTGTGGAAGAAGTAAAGCAAGATGATTCGCTGCTTTTGCACATCTCCCGCTCCTTCTCCCCCACCTGTTGGTCTAGAGCAGTGGTTCCCAAACTGTGGTACACATAGTACCAGCGGGACACAGACAGTCTATGAGTGGTACACACAGGCAGTGGAAGGCCGGGGTGGGAAGGTGCACACAGACACACACAGCAAGCAGCAACCTGCTGCAGGTGACCAGGAATGCAGCTCAGCCATGGGTGGAGCAGCGTCCAGCACATATGTGTGTTGGGGGGAAGGTATTGGGGACACGGACGGGGTGCACACGGGTGCACATGCACCCTCTGGAAGCACCAGCTGCAAAACCAGAAGTGCACCAGTTGGCAATTGGCTGCTGCGGGACCCATCCTATCGGCAATCTGATGCCCACCCCCCAGACTCAGGCCAGTCACCCATAGAGGAAGAGGTGTGGGTGAGAGAAGCGGGGAGAAAATTGAGGCTCCCCTGATGAGGGAGGGAGTGGGGCAGAGGCAGGGTCTGGGGAGAATGGGGCCCCAGGGTGGATCAAGAGACGGTCAGAGCCCCAAGCAGCTTGTCCATCGGTGCGGGGAGGCAGGGGGTCCTGCTGTTATGCGCTCCCCAGGGGAGGCATGGGGGGCACATACCACCCAGATTTGTGTGTGGGGTACAGGTGGGCTCCCCACTGTGTGCTGGGCTCTGTGCCCCACTGCTGTTGCCTCAGGAGCCACATGCGATGCCGTGTGCCTCTTGTGTGCTGACTACGCCACATCCCATGCCTGCCTGGCGGTAGGAGGCACAGCACGGCATCGCACACAGCTCCTGAGGCAATGGTAAGAGGGTGCAGAGTCCAGTGTGCATTGGGCAGCCTGCCTCCACCTTGCGTTCAAATCCAGGGGGCATGTGGCCCCCATGCCGCCCCCTGGGTGTGCACAGTTGTGGGAGCCTCCCTGTGCTTCTGGAAAAGCTCAGGCTGCCCCGGGGAGAGCCTGGGGGGGCAGGAAGGGATGCGTCCTTCTGTTCAGGCTTGCCAGGGAGCGGGGCAGGCCAGCCCGGGGGAGAAGACCCCCATGAAGCAGCGGCCTGCACTCTGGTCTCTGGGTGGCACTGCCATTGCCTTGGGAGCTGTGCACAACACCATGCTGTACCTTCTGTTGCCAGGTAGGCAGGGGATGAGGTGCAACCAACACATGGGAGCCACATGGTGTCATGCACAGCTCCCAAGGCAATGGCAGTAGGGTGCAGAGCCCAGCACACAACAGGCCACCCACCTCTGCCTCATACACAAATCTGGGGGACACATGCTCCCCATGCCTCCCCCGGGGAGGTGTGCAATGGCAGGGAGTCATGACCCCCAGTGCCCCTGAACGAGCCTCCCATATCTCCATCCCATAACCCGTGTGTGTGTATGTGTGTGTCTGTCTGTATGCTCTGTCAAGCAAGCTCACCCCTCCCACTAAAGACATCCCCAAAAGCATCTCTGGATGGGTAACTTTACACTGGCTTTTTTCCAGTTTACAAATGTTTTATATGCCTACTTTGACTGATAAGACAATGTTTTATGATTACTAAAGATTTCGATGTTTTAATACAAAGTCTGTGTGTGAAAAATTTGCTGGTGGTACTTAAGGCTGTATCATCTTGAATTTGTGGTACTCAATCTGTCAGAGTTTGGGAACCGCTGGTCAGGACATCTGTGACACATGTGAGAAGAACTGTTGCCATTCCACAATGCAGAGCTGCTTGGTCAGGGTGCCCAAGAAAACCAAAGGGTACACTGCTGCTCTGTATCGGTTACTAAATTGCTGGATGTGACCTTCCCAAATATTGACCTTCAAGGGCTTATTTTTAAAAGCTGTTTTTAGATCTTTTTAGTTTTGTGTAGGAAGCAGTATTTAGAATCTTTACATGTAAGTTTGTCTTAATAAAAATGCGTTAAGATTTATAGACCCTCTAAATCTTTAATTCTGTTTTAATAGTTTCTCTTTGTGTTAATCTTCCATAGGTAAAAATTAATCTTCCTCTGTGCATTTGGCTCCGGAGAGGTGATCTAAAACAGTAACAGCAATTTAATTAAAGATTAGACCATAACCAAATGTTGCAGTACCACATGCAAAGAGCAGTATTTGAATGTCTGATACCCCTGTTGTGGCTTGCCTCCATTAAAACTAACAAAATCCCCACTGCGCAACCTCCCACTTGATGGTTCCTTATTTGAAATAGGCACTTGAAGATGCACATGATTAATTT